CCCCAAAACCCCAAAACCCCAAAACCCCATATACGTAAGCACCAATAGAATTTAGATAAAAATTTATTTTTTTAGGTAATGGAATCGCCAAATTATAGCTCGCTTGTTTAAGCATGATGACTCCTTGATTTTTCAAAAGTTTGTGGAAGATATATTTGCTAACCTTATTGTATAGGACCCTTAAAAAGAACAAAATGAAGAGCTTACTCCTATTAGCTATTATAGTGTGGTAAGTACACAAAGTCTTATAACTTAAGCTTCAGAATTGATTACCTGCTCCTTGACAATATTATCCATAATTATTTTGCTTGAAATTTGGAGTGTTTTGATGTAATTTCGGTTTTGATTCTACCTACTCTTTTCTTAAATAAAATCTTGGTTACTTTTAAACCTTAATTATTGTCATCCTAACGAGAAAATAGGTCAGCACATTGTGCATATAACGAAAAACTAGCTGTAGACATGGTTTATGCTTCAGCCTTATCGTACTGTCCTTCAGATAAGGTGATGTCAGGTGGTTGCAAGGCTGCAACTGTTGCCACTGAAAATATTGATATCATCCCAATCTTTTCTGTTTCCAACAACGATTCCAAGTTACCTATCTATATGACTCTGATGAAAAGAGAGTCTCAGAAACAAATTATTGTTGGATTCTCTGGAACTAAAGGAGCTGATGAACTGATAGATGAAGTTACTCATATCTTACCCAAGGAATACGATATTCATCAAAATAAGGGAGTGCAAGTCTTCGAGTTCTTTTACAATCATTATAAGGACGAGTTCAGAAATGATTTCTTAAAGCAAATGTCTGATGCAGTGAACAAAGATGAAAATCAGAACTATGATGTAATCTTCACTGGACACTCCCTTGGAGGTGCTCTTACTATGCATGCAGCGGCTGATGCTATCCTAAGTGGCCTCTTTACGAATAATAATGTCTACATTTACACTTTTGGCCAACCAAGAGTTGGAAATGCTGAATTTATTGATGAATTTATACCAAAAGTTAAAGAATCTTACAGAGTCATTCATGACAACGATATTGTTCCACATCTCCCACCATGTATCACCGATTTTAATGATGGATGCACCAAACACGGATTTTTGATTCCAGTTTTCCCATATCACGCTGCCACAGAAGTACTCTATGAACAAGGCTTCGAAAGCTACAAGGTATGTAGCACATCTGAAGGAGAAGATAAGACTTGCGCTCTCTCAAAGAGCGGAAAGAGCATTCCAGATCACCTCACCTACTTCGGTGTTGAAGTTGGCCAATTCCATACCCACGAATCCAACCAATCTCAACCCCTTGCTATCAAAAACCTGATGAAATAACCAATGAAATTTCAGCTAAAACCATCTTTTCAATATCTCCCAAATATTTCGGGGTTTTGGGGTTTTGGGGTTTTGGGGTTTTGGGGTTTTGGGGTTTTGGGG